AATGACCATATTCAATAATTATTTATATAAACTATTGAGTTGACAAAGAAGTTAAATGTGGAAGGACCAATGTAGGTCAGCTTTCACAGAGGAATTTGGTCTCTTAGTGTCCATGATGGTTCAGAAGATGGCTCTTAGCTTTACAATCAAGGAATATACTGCCATCAGACATAGAGGTGATCAGGCAAAAATGAAGGGGCACATTATCCAAATTGTAAAACACTGTTACATAAAGCCAATCCCAACTCTTACTCAGGCAGATGGTTCATGCATTCCTCATCTAGTAAAGAAAGTATAGAGTGAACATGAAATTACCATCTAAAAGTTGTTTTGTGAATAGGGACCTGGGGTGACCTAAAGGGCAATATCATCAAGCTCATCAGAATCTATGCAAACTTTTTTTTTATTGAAGTATAGTTAACACACAATGTTATATATTCACTCTTATGACAAGAATATAACTGCAAACTAGAATACTTTTAATGGACAGCACTAAAGACAACAATTAAAAATGCTTATTAACCAATGCTCCTTTTACATAACCCAAAGAAGGTGACATGGATATAGAGCCATGAGCATAAACTTTAGCATCAAATTCTGCTATCGCTATGTGATCTTGTGTAAAATCTATTCAGATACCAATTTCTTCACCTAAGATGGAAGCAATAATATCTTGTTCATGGAGTTTTGAGAATATTAAATTCAACAACAAAATTAACATATAAGAAAATGCTTCTCTACCTGTTTGCAGAACATTGTTTCTGACAGTGATACTCCCATGCATTCCCATCAAAAGTATACATGGACCATATATCATCTTATTTTTTCTATATTTCCAAATCTTAACCAGCAGTATAGATATACATCATAGTTTATTGTGAAATATTTTTAGACTGATAAACTACATATATTAATTGTTATTTCTTGAGTCTCCCTTTCAGAAAGTTATTTTCTCTTGAAGATATTAGGACTCTACCTTACAGACTTCCCATAGCGTGACATTGACAAAGTAATAGTCAACTGTTGTTGACTTTTGACTCTCATGTGCAGTTTCCTAATCTCTGACCATGTGTTTCAGAAAAAAAAGGCAAACATAGATGACATACATAAGTAAATATCAATTAAGCTTTTACAAAATGAGAAATAACACAGCTTTAAATTATTGTTTACATTTATAGCTATTTTTCCCAAAGAAAGATTGATGGTATAATTTGGTGTAGACACATGTTAATAAAGCTTCGCTATTTGATACCATAGATTATGACATTCAAATATATCCGGCTTGGGAAATAGAATGCATTTTCTTTGCTTAATTAACTGCAATCAATCTTTTTTTTTTTTAAAGATTTTATTTATTTGACAGAGAGAGAGAAATCACAAATAGAGAGGCAGTCAGAGAGAGAGAGGGGAGGAAGCAGGTTCCCTGTGGAGCAGAGAGCCCGACGCTGAGCTCGATCCCAGGACCCTGAGCTGAAGGCAGAGGCTTGAACCCACTGAGCCACCCAGGCACCCTACTGCAATCGATCTTATAAGCTCTTTTGAGAACAAGTAAAGAAGAATGTTTGGTTGTATGTTTAAAACCTGGACTATAGGGTCACCTGGGCCTTAATATACCTAACAGTCTATGAATGTGAGAGGTGCCATACTTCTTAGTCTTAGCTTCCACATCATTAAAGTTGAAATGTTGGAATTATTTTAAGAACTATCATGTATCATACATAGCTTGCTTTATACTGCAACTGACACAGAAAAGCTTACTAACTGCTCAATTATTTTTATCAATTTAAGTAATTTGTTAACGTTAGGTCTTTAGCCCCAAAGCCTACACACCTATTTATATATACATATGTACATCCACTAATACATTTAGAAACACACAAAACATTAAGCTGCCACAACACAAATGTAAATAGACCCTCACTTAACTTGGTAAGAACATAAGTAACATTTAACTTCTGCACATGGCTAGAACTACAAGAAACATTCCTATCCCATCCCTTACAGAGTAGGGTCAAGAGAATTCATGTCAACATAATTAACAATATGTGTCACCATCTATTAGAATCAACCCACAACCCTGTGGCTATTGGCATCAGAAGCAACACAGAAGAGGTAGCTAGTGGCAAAGACATGTCACTCTCTATTATTATTAAGAGAACAAAACAGAACCTCTCTTGACTATTAAGTACATTCCCAGTCTAAATTTAGCACGAATCTCTTTTTGATTATGAAGTCTTGCATTCTGATGGTTTTAAATCACATGGAGCGATTTTGTATCCGAGCAGTAGGTTAACTAAGAAAGCCAAGAGAAAAATTTTCAAGCAGATATGTATTCCCTCTGGTATTTTGTCCTCTCCTGAGAGCAAAATGGAGCTAAATAAAATGCATGACATGTGAAAAGTGAAAATATGTTATCACCATTTCAAGTTCAAGAACTTAGGCTGTTTTCGTAGGAAGGCAGACCAGCACATCAGGATGGAATTAGCCGTCATCTTTTGGAAGAACTGTTAGGCAGATAAATGTTAGTTTAGGGCCGTACTGTATGCCCAGCTAAGAGACTGTACTAAATTACGCTGGCAATCCAGCCCCCTCCACCTCTTTTTGGCAATCCCTTTATATTTTAAATAAAGTTTTGTGGACTAAAAGTCAGTCATTAAAGCATGCTTTTATTTTTATCTCTCTGGTACTGAATTTTCACACTGTGTGCCAACACATTATTTCCACACTATGCGTAACACAATCTAAAGCAATTTTTTTTTGGCTAAAATTAAGAACCATGTCCATCCAAGACATTTTCGCCAGGATCCCCCTCACCATTCCTTCTTCTTTTTGCTGCCTTGTTTATTGCAGGCTTCAAAAACTCTGCAAGCCTCAAATCTGAATTGAGCTTATCATCTGAGTGTTCTACTGGTATATTCCAACTATGCTGCAAGGCTGGAGAAAAATCACAGGAGAGTAGAGATGGCTGTCCCTGCCGTCATGGGCTCCAACCCCATCTGGGGTCTTGGTGCAACCCAGCAACCCGTCATGTCTTGGTCAGTGTGATTTTCCATTGCCTTCAGCAGCTTTCTCCAAACTTTGACTTCAGCGTCCAAATTTATACCTTGTCGTCTTCTCTGTCACTTACAGTTTTATTTCCTACCATCATTTCATTTTCACTTCATTCATTTCTCTATCACAAAAAGAGAACCCTTCTTCTAGGAGGTCTTCCTTGAATGTCTTGCTACATAGTCCACATAAATTTCAGTTCTTTCGACTTTCTTCCCTCTCAGTAGAGGAAGAGGCATCACTTCCTGTCCAAATTAAATATATCCACCCCTTTGCTCCCATGTCTTTAGGACTTCGGTTCACCATATATCATCTCTCCCTCCATAGCTTTAGAATTGGTCTTATCTTTCATAGTGTAATGATGACAAAGGGTTCTCAATTCACAACAAAAAATTTAATCTCTCTCTTGACTCAACATTCCCATGTAGTCATGATCTTAGCAGCTGTTGGAACATTTGTCTGTGCTCATGGCCCCTTTTCCATCTGTCCAGTGCTCAGTTCACTGCCATGGGGCTTTGGTCACCACATCTTTCCAACTGCTCTGTGTAAAGTTGTCAATGACACCCTTGATGTATTACCTAATGAATTATTTTCAGTCCTTATCTTTTTTTTTTAAAGATTTATTTATTTGACAGACAGAGATCACAAGTAGGCAGAGAGGCAGGCAGAGAGAGAGGTGGAGTCAGGCTCCCTGCGGAGCAGAGAGCCTGATGCGGGGCTCGATCCCAGGACCCTGGGATCTTGACCTGAGCTGAAAGCAGAGGTTTAACCCACTGAGCCACCCAGGTGCCCCTTCAGTCCTTATCTTATTTTCATGTGTGTGAAAAAAATTTTGAGCTTTAAAATTCTTTCTTCATCTTTGGTGATTCTTCCCTCTATTTCTCTACCTGCTCCTTCTCACTCTCTGATGCTCTCTCTTTCTCTTCTGTCCACCTGCAAATCATATTTCCCATCACTAGCTTGAGGGCCTGTGACATCTCTTCACCCAGTTTTTATGGCTTTAGACAAAAATGACAGTGCAAAGTTGTCAAAAGCCCAGACCTTTTGCCTGAATTCTAAATCAGCTTATCTTGTAGATGTGTCTTCCTCAGTTCTTCAGTGGTTCAGAGCCCAATCAAAGTCAACATGCTTCATTTTGAACTTATTTACTGTTCCACTTACTCATGTTCCTTCTCTAAATGCCCCCACACAACATCTAACCACTTACCCAAGCCATACACTTGTGGTCATTCTAGAGCTCTTTGTGTCATCCAGCTCTTACAGATCTACCTTCTAAAGGTCCTGGGTCAATTTCCTATTTATCTTAACTACCATTGCCTATTTATTTGACATATATACCTCACCCTATTTCCCAGATTTAAAAGGAAGAGAAAAAAGAAAGAAAAGTAGGGAGAGAGAGGGGAAAGAAAGGAAGGAGAGAGGGAGGGAAAAAGAAGACACTTCCCAGGGTGCCTGGGTGGCTCAGTAGGTTAAGTGTCTGCTTCAGCTCAGGTCATGATCCCAGTGTCCTGGAATCAAGCCCCACATCAGGCTCCCTGCTCAGTAGGGAGTCTGCTTCTCTCTTTACCCCTCCCCCTGCTCATGTTCTCTTTCCCTCTCTCTCACTCACTTTCTCTCTAATAAAATCAGAGAGAAGGAAAGAAAGACACTAACTTGTTTATAACTAACCAGTTATAATCCTCTACCTTCCTTAGTCCAGGTCCTTATCAAATCTGATTATTACAGTAGCCTTCTAAGTGATTCCCTCCAATCCTTATCATTGCTGCCGAAGATAGTTATAAAATATAAACATGATTACGATACAACCCAGATTAAAATATTTCACTACATTCCCATTTAGCTAGGGTCATCTAAACTACTTTAACAACTAGGCCAGTTGTAATAACCCAAACATTGGTAATGTAATAGTTTAGATCAAGTGTTAACCTCTAGACTGATAAAACATTTGGTACCTTCAACACGTGGCATCCAAGGTTATCCAGAATCTCACCATCCTGAGGGGCCTGAAAGAGAAAAGAGAATGGGACATCTGTAGGAGAAGTACCTATCACTGCTTACTTTTCACTCACTGGAGCTCAATCACATTGGCTACACCCTGTTCTGAGGGAGGCTGAAATATAGTAAAGCTATAACCCAGGGGAAAAAAAGAGATTTTGGTTGAGAACTATCAGTCTTTGCTTTATTTCCCCATGGATTCAAAATAAATTAAAAATCATTCTCTTGCCATACTAAGTCTCTCTAATTTTTATGTCACCTGGACTAACTTCCACATTGGTCCATCAATCTATGCTTCTGCCATAACCAACTTATTTTCCTCAAACTCATGCTCAAATAGACCTTCATGGCATCTGTGATGATGTTTCCCTCTGGCTCATCACCAGTTTCTCTACTCCTCCTTCTTTCCTTTAGCTAAATTCTCACCTTTATTTCCAGTTTAGATCGCTTTCCAGGACACCTGATTGGATGTATATAACCTCTGGGTGTGTTTCCACAGCTCTCTGTACAGAGCCCTGAACAAAGTGATACACAGACTTAGGCTTTCTTGTCCATTTCCCTATGGACTGTATACCCTGACAGAGTCTATTCATTGTAATGATTATGTAAGATAATGTTTCTTTTAATACATTCAATATTATCCCTCTGCCTATTCTAAAACTAATTAAATTGGGCCCATTTTTTAGCCTAAAATAATTCAATATTAAAGACAAATTTGATATTATTAAGAATTTTAGATTTTTGCATTTGTCAATTAGACATTTTAGAAATTAACTTCTGGCAGTGTCTGTGAAAACATGTTTCTTGAGCTCTTATTACCAGTTTTATAAAAATTAACAACTCAGGCCCTTGTGCTCTTGTTTAATTAAGCATGTCATAGGAAGCTGAAATATACCCACACAAAACTGCTCTTGCAGGTATTTATACACTTGATTATGAGTATCTTATATTCACATTTGCATAAATAAGACAAATCACAGATTATTTGGGGGCATCTGAAATTTGATAGACCTCACATGTTGTGCAAAAACTTTGCTTAGAATTTAAATAAAATTGATTTTAAAATAGTTTTTCCTTGGTTTTACATAAGTAAAAGAATTAGACAAATTTTAATAAATTTAATTTATATAATATATTATTTATTATGTATATAATCAATTTAATTTAATAAATTTTAAACACCAATCTATATTAAAAGATCATATTTTAATTGAAGGTAATTTACTGAGTGTGTGAAAATTTACTCAAATAAAATTTTATTGTAATTATAATAAAGTATTAGATTCAGAGGACTTGATTTACATTTCTACTTTCCTAACTAGTTTACAAACTGTATGATAGTGGGAAAATTAGCAGCCGTAACTTTTGATTTTCTCACGTATTAACTGGAGATTTGCCTCACTCAGGGAGTTAAAAGATCAACTCAATGGAGAGACTATGAAAAAAGGAAGTATTATTGGAAAAAATTTATCTTTTCAAAATTTTATCCAATGACATAATAATCATAATTTTGTGGCAAACTAGCACTGAGTCCTAGTCCAGGTTATACTTGAAATCTGGAAGTCTATCTTACCAATTTACAAGGGAATAAACTTCTCAATAGAGGAAGATCTCCATGTATGTGGAGGTTGTATGTGAATGTGTGAGCAGATTTTTGTGTATATACACCTACCTACACATACTGTGGTGTGGGGAAGTCAATGGAGGGAGGGGTTCTTTCTGGCACGGAAGAAGATGAACGTTACTGATAAGGTTCATAATTGCCAGCTCATAGGGATAAATGTCACTTTGACTTTTATTGATTTCATTGTTTTTAATTACATGTCCCTAAATAGACTCTACCCCAGAGTGAACGGACCTCACTGCCCCTGCCGTTGGTTACACTGCTGTCCATAAATGTATTTATTCACAAAAAGCAGTATCATCAATAGCGTTCTCACACAAAAACACCACTACAAAAGAGAGGTCTATCCCATAGCTTTCAACACGTAGGACAACAGTTTTTATGTCAAGCTATCTAAAACTCTGAAATATATGACATCTAATAGGCCTTCTATCAAAGAAAATTGTCCGCTGGTTGGTGGCTCAATTAAAACTATTTTTTAAAGTTAAAAAAAAAAAAAAAAAAAAACCAGAAACTTCTACATTCCCGTTAACTTCCTCCCTACAGGTAGACTCCTGTTTCCCTTAACAGCATTCTTCCTCTCCATAATTGTAGAAACAGCTACATGAAAAATGCCTGACGATTTCTCATTCTTTTTAGGAACTATGTTTACTATCTGGATGACAACAAATGCTGGTTCTGTTTTCATCGCTTGGTGCTCTGTTCTGTGCCAGGAGTGAAGCGCAACCGTCATCACAAACGGAATTTTGTGAGGTTCTGCTCCATCTACTTCCACTGTAGGAAGCCAAGTGTTAAGGCTTGCTTTTTTTTTTTTTTTTTTTTTTTTGCCTGTTTGCACAGATGCTTCTCTCCTTTTCCTGGGGAGAGGTTAAGCCCCTTGATCTCTATCCTTCCTCAGCAGGATCATTTTTATCTGCTCTGCACCCCTCAGGAGGACAGTGGCTGCCTTTTCTGTTATTGATAAATTAATTAAGAACCCTGCAAGCCCAGAAGGTTTGGAAGGATTCTAAAATCCTCTCACTTGATGACTTTCACTAAGTAAAATATGTTTATCCATTTCACAGGACCTATATTTTTAGATCAATGACCTTTGGGTGTGTGATTCATTCTGATTTCTTTTTTTTCCCAGTGGGTGCAGTTTCACATATGTCTATTTAAAAACAATAAAGCAAAGCAATGTTTTAAATGGAATATAATCTATTCTACACCTGTTTCCTTAGGCTATTTTGATGGATGCGAATGGTTTCTATGATAAATTTTGCTTTTATAAATAATAGACAATTCAAGTATTTACATATTTCCCATTAAGTTTTCATATGAATATTTTAATTTTAAAACCAGCCAATTGAATGTATTTTTTTTCTTTTTGCAAAACAGCCATATATCCAAAACAAGGTGTTTTTAGTCGAAACAACAGAAATATTTTCTAAGCATAATTTGTTTGGGCAAGAATTTATTTTGTAGAGTTTTCTCTAGTTTTCTTGTCTCTTATGTAATGAGAAATACACCCCGATAGAAATAACTCTTTTAGATAAAAATTGTGTAACACAATCTGCTTACATGACTTCATCCATTTTGGTCACCAGAATCTTGGTTGTAATAGCCACGTAGGTTCCATACAGATCTTGATATCTCTTTGTAACAATAAGAAAAGAAAACATTTACCTGGAGATAAGATCAAAACCGTAAAGACAGTCTCTGGAGTATGTTGCATTTACAACCCAGAAATATAATTACATCAGTTACTATAAGTATTTTCATACAATGTACAGGAACATATTTCTTCTTTGTTTCCAGTTTCCTGTTAGTTTTCATAGAACAAAAAAACAACTCCTTCTCCTCTTTGTGCTTGACAGATTCACTTGTTCTTCCCATCTGTAGACGAAATTTCCAACCTAGGTATCATATATTTTTGGGTCACTCTTGGATTGGGAAACTATAGGTTATCATTCAAACTATGTCACTGTTGAGAGAGAAAAGGATGGCTATTATCACAAAGGCATAAGGTAAAAATTAGGCTGTCCTATGCAAATTAGGATGTATAGTCACATTACTTTAATATAAAATATAATTTTATATTATATAACTTTATTAATATTTAATTAAAATTTTAATAATTAATATTTATATTAGATAACTTTTATATAATATAAAAGTCCAATCCAGGGCACCTGGGTGGTTTAGTTAAGGGGCTACCTCTTGGTTTTGGCTTGGGTCATGATCTCAGGGTCGTGAGATTGAGCCCTGTGTTGGGCTCGGCGTTGGGCATTGAGTCTGCTTGAGATTCTCTCTCTCCTTTCCCTCTGCCCCTCCTCCTGCTCTCATGCTCTCTCTCTCTCTTTCAAAATAAATAAATAAAACTTTTTAAAAAATTCCAATCCAGAAACATTCACCATAATAGCAAAATTTCAATTTCTGCCCGAATACTTTTCTCCATTCCACCAACTCAAACATGCTTCAGGAAATCTACAGAAGAGAGAGCATGGGTGCCTCTTCTTCTTCTTCTTCTTTTTTTTTTTTTTTTTTTTTTTTTCTTGTTCTACTTCTCCACTTACATAATGCGGCTTTGGTGTATTCTAAGGTGGAGTATAGAAGAGATACAGAAAAGACAACCCGAAAATTATCTTACCTAATTGGTATAATTGTGATATGGTGTTGATACTCGATAGACAAAACAGAAGTCCAAAGCAGGCTTTATTGATTTCACCCTGGGGACTTTAGACTGTAGTTTTAGAGCAGTAGGTCATTTGTTTCCTCTATCAGGGCACTGGAACTTCTGCTGTTCCTTCCCTTTGCAGCATCCATCATACCTTTAGACCGTCCCCTTGGGCAGGGTCACTGCCAAACAATTCCAGGCTATGTCTCTTCCATGAAGTCCATAGTTGGTCCAAAAGATCATTTTCACTCTGCCACGGATGGAATTATAGTCTGCTCTTCATACAACATCTTGGTCTTCCAGCTCCAGACAGCCTCTTATGTTAAATTTGTCCTGGTAAAAGCATCCCCACGCTACATCTCCCTGGCCTTAAGGAATGCATCCCAAAACCTCTAAAGAGGAGTCTTGAAACTTCTGTCACATGGCACAAGTGAGAGTGAAGCATCCTACCACCCTCTTCTATAAGGAGTTATGGTGGTGAGGCAGGGCAAATCCACCAGAGGTCAGCAACTCTCTCCATAGTAAACCCCACTGACATCACTGGCCTCTATCTCTCTGGAATCTCACAGGCTTGAGGTGAGTGATTGGCTAAGACTAGAACAGCTGGTTTCACTATTTCATAGTTTGCTTTGCATAAATGATCCCGTTGTATGCTTTGGTTTAGGGGAAGTGGGTGCCATTGACTGTTTACTTGTTGTTCTTGACTTGTAGGGCACCCCAATCTACAGGATTTTATTATAGTAGCTTGAGCAGACAAAATAGCATTACTGTATCTTATGGCCAGAGCTCTAGGGACACATATCAGAGATCCATAGGAAACACTCAGATAGCAAGAAGGAACTTAACGAATATGTTCTTATATCTGAAAATGGCGTGTGTTAAATTTACATACATTTAATGTCTAGTTCAGTAACTGCCATATACGAGGTGCCCAGTAAATGGTAACTTAAAACCCAAGAACACAGTGTGGGTAAAAGACTTGATCTGATCATCTTTTATTTAACTTCCTAGGTCCCAAATAGCCCAAGTCTCATGCCTATGACTCATATGTAACTACTTCCTGTTTTGAAGCTCTTCCATGTGAGCTCTAGGGAGTAGTGTATGATTGTTCAAAGGGCAGCTTCTAGGCAATTTCTGATCTGGTTGGGGATATTGTAACACTCCTGATCTATACTAAATCTTTTGTTTTATATCTGTGTTCTCTGATAACAGTGTTTTATCAGCAACAGTGGTTTTAAACATTTTGGAGTCAGAGGATCCCATGAGAAGTTAATTAATTCTATAAGCTTTTTCAATAGAAAATGCACATTTACACACATACAATATTTTGATTATCATTTCAAAAGATTCTGTATTTCCTGAAGCCCAATACTTGGAGATGCCAGGTTATAAATGCCCCAACTATCTAAGAATAGGGTTTCTGCATTAGGTACAGTATGAGATGGGGGTGTTTAGGATTATTCCACAGTCTTTAGGAGGGATGAGAATTTTTTTTTATTGCAATTTAAACTGAAAATTGGTTCTCCTTGAAAAAACATGTATTCTCTATGGCACTTCTTTTTTCTTTTTAAACATTGCCTGATCCTTCCTCTTTCCTGTTGTCTTGGCTACCACCATCACCACCACTATCAGCCTCTTCATTTTTTAAAAAAATATTTTACTTATGTATTTGACAGAGAGAGAGAGAGATCACAAGTAGGCAGAGAGGATGGCAGAAAGAGAAGGGGAAGCAGACTCCCTGCTGAGCAGAGAGCCCAATGTGGGCCTCAATCCCAGGACCCTGAGATCATGACCTGAGCCAAAGGCATTGGCTCAACCCTCAGAGCCACCCTAACCTCTTCATTTTAAAAGGCACTAGAAGCTTAATGGGGTCTTGGTGTTTATTTGCTTCTCGCCAAGATTTCAGCATATGTACATGCTCAGTTTCCCCTCAGAAGTCATTGTTTACTTTAAGATCATCAATATCTACCCAAACACATAGCCAATACACATCCATGCCCTTGCCCCCTTTCTGATCAGGAGGAGCTGTAATCACTAATATAGACAGCTTCAGAGTAGCTCACTTTACCCTAAACAATTGTATTAAGAATGATTGAAAAGCCACAAGTAAGAGGTGACAAGGGCAGGGTATGGGGGAGGGAAAAAAGACATGTGCTGTGGTTCTAGAGGCTACAGTGCACCAGGGGGCCTCACAGCAAGACTATGTTGTGAATGGTATTCACACATCTCTCTGCCTTAGTAATTGTCCTACTTAAGTCCTTGCTCTCCCTACTTTTGAGGCTGTTTGGGACTGATACAATAGCTTTCAAAAAGTAAACAAAATATCAAAGAACCCCAAGCTTTTGGGACTTAAGGATCTTCTCATGTCAAAGACCTTTAAGAGGTGTGTTGTTTTGCTTTTCTGGAGGGAAGAATTTTAGTACTGGAATTACATCCTCTCATAATTGTGTCCTAAGCAGTGTATATATTCCTTTCTGACAGCCATAAGGAAAAAAGAGATTTCTGTTGTCTGGCTTTTGGTTTCTTCTGACCAACTTTAGCCCAAAGACGGCAGAAAATATTTCTATGGTTAGGTCTTGGTAAAAATGATAAATAAATGTATTCTATTCAGTACTCATTACTCTTCTTTTAAGCTATTTCTTCTAATTAAGCCTTGGCACATTCAAAACGCAATTCCCAGTAACATAAACCTAGAAGCAGTCTGGCAAGCTAATTCCTTAGCCCTTGTGGTCTCCGGATTTTATTAGACTGTGAACTTCTTGAGGGCAGAGACCATCTCTTTTTTCAAATCTATATTTGATCTCCATTGCCTAAAAGAGTAATTATCCCAAAGTAAGTGAGCAGTAAATACTCAAATGAATAAAAAAATGATAAACATTTTATAGTTCATTTTAATATTGATTTTCTTCAAGATTATTGAAATGCTTAAGAATTCTGAAAACCCTTAAACAAGACTATTTTTAACTGAAAGAGCATAGTCTTGAACATAGCAGCCCAGTGGAGTGGCTACAACATATTCTGATTCTTGCAGAAATTACATACCCTCATTAATATTAAATACAGTCAGATGTAATTATCAGCAATGCTGTTGAGGTGTTGAGGTAACTAAACTTAAAAAGAATCTGTATCCCGAGTAGGCTTTTCTATTTATCACTTTGGTCCTTAATAATAAGCCAAATGTGCTCACCAGGATCCTCATAGCTTTAAAATTCTGATTTTTTTTTTAAAGATTTTATTTATTTATTTGACAGAGAGAGAGAGATCACAAGTAAGCAGAGAGGCAGGCAGAGAGAGGAGGAAGCAGGCTCACTGCTGAGCAGAGAGCCCGATGTGGGGCTCGATCCCAGGACCCTGAGATCATGACCCGAACTGAAGGCAGAGGCTTAACCCACTGAGCCACCCAGGTGCCCCTAAAATTCTGATTTTCAAAGACAGAAATAAACATGTTAATAACTTGTACTCAAAACCTCTCTATAAGTCTGTCTTTAGCAATAACTCTGTGGAGGGAGATCGCCTTATGAAAAGTCTTATTTGTCACTTGAATAATTGATCCCTCTGCAGTGGAGTCCAAATATACTAACTTTGGAGGAAAAAATGTTACTGCTCTATTCCAATGTATGAGGAATCCACTGGAGATGGCAGAGCTCTGAAGAGAGAATTCTTGTAAGGAACAGAATGAGCCTGCTGATCACTAAAAATAACTAAGAATATTTACTAAAACATAAATAAATAAGTTTTAGCCATATAAGTAATACAGATAATCTTAGAGAAAATGTGTTGGTTTTCATCCTATGATCACATTGAGTTTTTATGGGTATTTGTGTGTTGGCAAGAGAAGGCAGGAGGAGCGCCAGTTATTTTCCTATAGTTATGCCCACAATAGCTCCAAGTGATTTATCAGATGCAATGTAAGAAGATCGTTTGGCTATCTGAGGGTTCCAGAATGTTTTTTCCAGCTTTTCAAAATAACCGAGTTTTGAGGACA